TATATTTATATTTATATTTATAGTTGTTGTTGTTGTTATGTGGGTTTGAACCACCAGCCTTCTGATTAGCAGTCAAGTGCCTTAGGCACTACACTGCCAGAGCTCCTATATATATATATAAAGAGAAAGGGAGAGAGAGAAAAGGGGCAGTGATATTTATCCCAAGGAAATGGTTACACAAATACAGATGCTGGGAAGTCCCAAGTCTGTGGGTCAGATGTCAAGTTGGAGGCTTCTCCTGACTCATGTAGCTACAGGGGCTGATGACTCCAAGATCAGCAGATAATACAGCAGCCTCTTGGTTTTAGAGGTTGACAAATCCAAGATCTTGGTTTCCAGTCTGCGAGGGCAGCAATCCCATAATTGGCATGCAATATGGCAGGCAAATGATTGAAGTTCAGATGATGAGGATTCTGATGCAAAATCCAGATGGAGCCAAAAACCCAAGAGCTTTTCCATATGTATTGGAAGCAGGCTACGCCACTGAGGAAACTCCCTTTCAACTGACTCCTCGTAGCAGATTTAATCACAGAGATGATTACATTACATCAGATCTCATTACGATGGATGACTACATCATAATTGCTAAACCACTTAAAGTCATGGCCCAGCCAAGGTGGCACACAACCTTAACTATTATAGTCCACCACTTGTCAACTTGGCACCTGTACACATCTTCTTAAACCATACATAATCTCTAAACAAAGACAATTTAAAGTCATACTTGAGTCTAACATGGTACAATTAACACATGACAGCTGAAAAGGCATTAGCCCCATTTACATCTTGTATTTTATAAGTGAAGAAAACAAAATTATTTGACACACACATACATACAAGAAATACAACAATCACAGTCCTCATTTCTGCAACTGGTCATGTGTTTATAGCTGGTATTCAGAACCCCATTCTATATATTGTTCTTGCCTTCAGCAACACCTCATCTAGCCATGGTTCTTTGTCTAGTGGGCTGACCCAAACTCTCGTTCCTGAAGGGTCTGAGCCATTAGTAGTTATATCAGAATTGGGTTGCAATAGTTTTCCATTGACTTTAATCACAGGACATGGTAGTACTAAGAGACATTTTAAGGAATCAGTTGTATCCCAGGTATATTTTTCTTTACCTCCATTATGGAATATCAATCTGATTTCCCCTTGATAATCAGTACCAATCACACCAGCCAATATAGTAACTTCCTTTTTTGCTTGTTGACCCAGAGGCATAAGGAGTCCAAAGTGGCTGGGTGTCATTCTTCAATTCCAGTTCAGTGGAATCAGTATTGTCTCCCGGTGAGAGGATTTCTCCTTTTGGTACTAAAACTGTAGATATATTTACTGGTTTAATTTCCCACCTTCCAGCATGGCAAATGTCTTACCAGTAAGTCTAGAGTTATTCATGCTTCTTTTCTAGGTCCTATCAGCATAATGACATCCATCTAATGAACCACTATGATGGCTTGTGGAAGGGAAAGGCAATCAAGGTCCCTGCAGACTAAATTATGACATAGTGTTGGAGAGTTGATATACCCCTGAGGTAAGATGGTGAAAGTGTACTGCTGGCCTTGCTAGTTCAAAGCCAAACTGCCTCTGATTATTCTTCAAAAACAGGATTGAGAAAAAGCTGTTGTCCAGATCAATAGTTGATACCAGGTACCAGGAGATCTATTAATGTGCTCAAGCAATGAAACCACATCTGGAACAGCAGCTGCAATTGGAGTCACGACTTGGTTATGTTTACAATAGTTTACTCTCATTTTCCATGATCTGTCTGTTTTTATCAGAAGCCAAATAAACAAGTAAAATGAGAATGTAGTGGGAATCACCACTCCTGCATCCTTCAAGTCCTTGATGGTGGCAGTCGTCTGTGCAATCATTCCAGGAATGCAATATTGCTTTTAGTTTACTATTTTCCAAGGCAGGGGTAATTCTAATGGCTTCCATTTGGCATTTCCTACCATAACAGCCCTTACTCCACATGTCAGGGATCCAGGGTGAGAGTTCTACTAGTTGCTGAGTATGTCTCTTCCAATTATGCATTATGGAACTGGGGAAATCAGTACAGGATGGGTTCAGAGACACATTGGACCCACTATGAGATGGACCTGAGCTAAAATTC